CCGAAGTGTTAAAACGAGAAAAATATAAAAAGAGTGCTGACGTATACTCTTTGGCTATAACCATGTTCGAGTGTATTTCATGGAGTTATGCATATTCCTACGATAAATTTAAATTTCCTTGGTCAATTGCAGAGTTTGTGATTAAAGGGTCACGATTACCAAAGCCGGATGAGATGAATCAAGATATATATGATATTATCTGTGGTTGTTGGGATAATGAACCCACAAAAAGAAGTTCGTCAGAAAATGTCAAATACAAGCTCGAAACTTTATTTAACACTCAAATGGCCTAAAGCCAAAAAATATGATTTTTTAAAAAATTTAATACCAAATTTGATTTTTGCCTTTCATTTCATTTTTCATGAATTTCATGTTTCAAAATGAAATTTGGTAAAAATTTTATAAAAATTATTTTTAAAGTGACGACATAATTAAATAAATATTTTGTATAATTATAATAACATAAACTAATATTATAAAAATTTTTGGATTTTGCAAAAAAAGACAAAAATGATGTTTGGAAAATATAATAATGTAAACTATTGTTACATAATATTAATTATATAACTAAATAAATAGTTTTATATATTTTTTATCATAATATTTACTATTTGTTATGATAATGTTATAATAATATTAATAGATTGTTTTTTTTGTTTTTTATTCAGATCTATTTTTAATGACATGAACTAAATCATCAATAAAAACAACATATTATCGAATTAAAAAGCAACTTGCTGTTTATCTAGTCAACACCGACATACATCAAATCAAATTGAGTTTGTTATGGTTCGTTTTTATATTTTTAATATACATCTTATTTATGCAACAAAATTTGTTATTGTATATTGGATATATTATTATTTAATAAAACAAATTTGGGGTTCTGAAATATAGTAAAACCTATTAAACGCGGCACTTTTGAATTGCGCAACTCTCAATAGAAAGCAGTTTAGACTGAATCCAAAAATCGAGTTTTCTATAGAACAGGTTTTGATGTTTGATTGGCGAAAATTCCCGTTCTTGAGAGAACAAAAATTACCATACTTTCTTGCTTTTGAAAAGTTTGACTGTGTTTTTGAAAAAAAATGTTGCTATTTTTAACCTCAAAAACAAATCTTAGGTAATTGAGTCCTCATTTTTATTATTTTTGACTAAGTTTTGGGTCATTTTTCGGTTTTTCGGCCAAGAGGGGGTTTTGGTCTTTTTTAACGACTTTTTTAAAGAAGGCATTTTTTGATATTGTTATTATTCTAATAAATAATTGGTTTTCGGCCAGTTAAGTGTTAATCACATTTAATGATATTATTTAATTTTTTAAATTAAATCGATAAAAAACTAATAAATTTAAAAAATATAAGAACAACAGAATAAACAAAATAAAAAAATCGTCACACAACATTTTTTTTACTTTGATGGTTGATATCATTTTTAAATTAAACTTAAAAGATCGAATGATTTAAGTTGAGTTGTCTTATTTATTGTCGCATGATAAATGCAAATGACATCAGAAGGTCTGTTATATCAAGCTAAATATGCGGATTTAGTGTATTTGTAATATATCAGCATCAAATATGAAGTTAGGAAAAGAAGAAAAAAGTGCTTTTAAAGAAAATATTCATTCTGTTACATTTGCAACTTATTGGAGATATAGTTCCACTCGATACTGCTTATGATAATGAGAACAATTCAAAATCGGTTGTTGTTAACGACTTGGAGTTGTTAGTATTCACAGTTTCAAGTTCAACATCCAATGTAATTGTTTTGTATTTTGAATGATAACCCAAAGACTTCTATTATTACTGTTAAGTATAAAAATATCATAATTATTAATTTAGTTGTTGTTTGCTGTCGAAAAAAAGTTGATTCAAACACAAATAATTATCTACATAGTCATTATAATACTAAGATGCACCAATTATATCAGTTGTAGTTTGATTCAAAATTGTCAATTTGAGTGCTCCAAATTTGGATTCAACGGTTAACCTAACAAACCTTGGTTTTTATGCTTTTTTATATCAGCATTGTCAAAGATTCAATTGATAATCCATACACTGTATTGGTTGTTGTTAAATTTGTTGATGATATTAGACTCTGTCTTTGTAATCGAGTGGTTTTACTTAAAAAATTATCAAATTTATTGACCTTAAGTGGTGCATTACCGTTGTGATCAATCACAAATATTCTGTAATTGTAGTTTTGATTTTTAAATTGACTTCACCGTTTTTTTTCAAAATTGGAGACATCACATGGACAGTTAATAGTTGAAAACTGTTTGTCAAAGTCATATGTTTCTTTTGTTAAATAACAAATAAGATCGCATGAATTTGTGAATTCATTGGTTCTACTAGTTTGTTTGGAGTTGGGTTTTATTATAACAACTTGAGTACAGACATCTAAAAATGATTTAGTTATTTGAAATAAATATATTATTTTAACAGGTTTAATTTTTTGTGTGTTTTTTTCTGTTAATTAATTTTACCATAATACCGTTTTTGCCCAAATCTATTTTTTTGAATAACTAAACCTTAGCCTTACTATTTTTTATTAATATCAAACCATTTCCTTTGAATGTATTATTATGATAATATTTTCATTTGATTTTATAAATTAATAATGATATTAATGTAATTATACTGTTTTATCAATAGTAAATAACGACTTTGTAAAAGTACCAAGGTTTTACTGTTTTCAAACAACAACGAAAACGACGTTGTCCCGAAGACGATAGTTGGAGTAATAGTTCTTTACTTTCGACGCGTTGTTTAAGAAACCATATTCACAATTATTTTTTTGTCAAATCGATTATGTTTGTAAATATATCATATTTGAAAAAACATAGACAACGGTGTTTGTGTTGATAGTCTAATTGATCTTGTTATTCTGTTCATTTTTTTATCACTAATTAATTATTAGTTTATTTTTTGAAACATAAAATATAGTTGTTTTTAAGAACTATATAGTTTGTTTTTTTTTCAAAATTGTTTTTTACCAACTCGGATTTTTTGTTCACATCTCAAAAATAATCAAATTAAATTTCAGATTCTTTTTGAGAAAATAGTTGAAAACAATCACACCAATACTTTGGATAAAAACAACGGAACGTATTACGGAGAATTGAAAAAACGCAAAACAAACAAGTCAGCAAACTATTATCTTTTCAAATAATTGAATTACAACAAACTGTGTTATAGAATGTATTACAACAATAAGTGAACATGTTTGTTATATGTAATGTATATATTAATTTATATATTCAATAACAATGACATTCAAGGTGGTTAAAATGTACTTGATAGTGAATCTGTTTTGGAAACTCCAAGTACATCGCCTAATACTAAAAATTTTATTGGCTTGAAATATATATGTCTCGGGATTTCTGATGTTTCTATTGCGTAAATCCCGAAAAAATATAAAAATTATATTTTCGATATAATATCTTATTTAAACTAGTTCTTATTTGTTAGTTTGTTTGAGTAATATCCTTGTGCAGAAAAATGTTAAGAAAAAAAAACGGGCATGACAGTCTTTTTTAAAAGACCAAACGACAAAAAAAGAAAAAAATAACACTGCCTAATAAAAAAATTAACAGGGAAACAAGGAAACGTGTTAATAGCAATAAAAAATATTCTTGTGGTTATAATTAAAAATTTCATAAAAAATTTTAAGGTTTCTGCGGGAGTCGAACCCAAGAACTTTTCCTTACTAGGGAAACGCACTGCCAACTATGCTAAGAGGCCTTTTTAACATTTTATCGCGGTAACTTTATGGAGAATTAACAAAAACCAACTTGAATTAACAATTAATATTAAAATTTAAAGAAAATTTAATTTAAAATAAAAAACTAAAAAGCTAAATGACAGAAATCCGTCCCCTCAATGGTTTTGAACTTCCTGTGTATTACGTGTGTCTGACTTTGAGTGACACATTTAACAAATTTGATTACACACAATTTAGAACTGACGTGGTGAAAGAGATTATCAAATACACTCCTTTTCATCTCACCATAAAAACAAAAGACGGCCATTTTTATTGGTATAAATTAGACGACAAATGGCTAATAGATAATGTCGATATTTATATTACAGAAGTTCCATTTGAAGAAAATAAAGAAATTGAAGCTGCTGACTATAATCTGCCACAAGAAGGTGTTCCACTGTTTTCTATTGAATGCTCAGAAAATGAGAGTACAAGTCGTTTAAAGTTGTATGCAAACCACTCACTGTGTGACGGGCGCACCATTGCAAATTTATATCAAGTTTTCAAGAACGCAATTCCAAACGAATTTCATAAAGCCCTTCACGACGACGAACTTCCTCCATTTGACTATAAAAGTCTGTACGCCATCAATGAAGATGTTTTACACCAAAATCCCGTCTCTTGGGATATCGCACATGTTTCTGTTGTTCCTCCAATAACAGAGAAGTGTGACTACATCAACATCTTTGGCACTTTCGACTGTCAAAAAGTGCTTTCCTTTTGTCAAAGATACAAAATTGGAGTTCAGGCGATACTAATGGCGTCACAAGAAAGAGCTACACGACGTTTTATGAACATAACCAATGAAGTGCCAATCAGTGTGTACGCACCAACAGACACAAGACAAACAAAATTCGCGAATGAGGAATTGAAACGTCACAATTTCTATTGCTCGGCGGGAGCTAACTTCCCAGCAATCGTCGGCAAAGAAAGTATTATGAAAGATCTGAAAGAGTGCAATTTTAAGATGAAAGAGGCACTAAAAACGTCGGATTGCTGCGTACATATACTTTTGTCGTGTAAACAAGTTGATGAGAAAACACTTGAATTTACACCAACAAAAGGAGCACCAAGTGTATCAAAAATGCGAGTCATTTCATGTTCGAATATAGGTCTTTACAAAAACATGAACGACCCATTTTTCGCTTTAAGATATCAATGTAATATCAATAAGTATGCTATTGTGTTGGACTCATAGCACTCAGAAAAGAATCTTCACACGTTCTTGTTTATCCCTGGAAAATTAAACCAAAAGTTTGTCGAGGAAATAAAAAGAGAGTTGGATGATGTCATGAAATTTGTGTGCGAAAATTGATTAATTTTTGAAATATTTTAGTTGGCAAGTAAATTTTTTGATTAGTTTTAGTTTGCTGTTTTTTACACTACTTTTTATTAACCAAAACCACCACGCTGATATAATTTTTACTGTATATGTTTTAGATAGATAACAATAGTTATATCAAATCATCTATTATGCAAAACAATTACAACTAAAACTTAACTGAATGTCTTCTCAAGGGACATACAACAACAAATTTTTACCATTATTGTTTTTTTGCTCTTTTGTTCTTTTTTTTAAATTGGAAAAATAATTTTTAAGAATTAAAATTAAGCTAGATACAGAATTATAGTTTGTCGAACTATTTAAATACTTTTTTTATTTAAATGTTCAAGTTTACTTGTTTTTTTTATTTCACCTAAATATATTTTCATTTGGTTTTTATAATAGTATAAAAAATTATTACTTGTAAGTAGAAACCTCAGTCCTATTCTAAACCTTAGTACCAAGAATGAAGATTCGATATTTTTGCTGTGATAAAAACCTGACAACACAGTCTTTTCAACAATTAAGTAATGGTCACTCTTCATTAAGTAAAACTTATCTATATTTAAGACTTTTATGATTAATTTATAATTTAAATAATTTATTATATAGTTTAATAATAAGTAACAAAAAACACAATAAAATATTTCAATTTTAATTCATTAAAATGGTTTTAATTAACTAATATTTATAAATTAGAGTCGTGCATAAGGCAAAGTTTTGCATAAGGTGGAGTGACCATTGTAATTGTTTAATTTAAAAAATAAAAATTATAAGTCAAAAACAAAAAAGCATTTTGGGTTATTTATAATCTCGAAAAATTAGTCAAAAAATGGAAAAGTGGTGCAAACAAGGTTATGGGCAAATGGACTGACCAAAAGTAACTATTCAACATTATAATTTAATTATAATGTTATTTTAAAAGGATGGATTTTGATAACAAAAAAAATAGAAAATCCACTTGTTCTATTGAGCATCAAATAACTTTATTTGGGTATCATCATATTGAGACCTGAATGTGTTTAATTGCACACGAGCACGACAACTCTCAAAGAAATTGATAAAAGGGAAATACAAGTGATATAAATTGATTATCTATGAATTCCGCGACTAATTTGTTAAGTTTTTATGAAAATTGGTTAAATCTTATTTAATTGAGTTAATATTTATACTTTTTGAGTAAGATTTTGTTTTAAAAGGTACATGGGTTGTTTCGAGTACTTTTTTCTGAAAAAAAATCTTGTCGTCTCTGTCTTTTTTTCCTTGCCTTCAAAAAAATTATTTCAACCATTTAAGTGTTAATATCATTTATGGTGATGTTTTGTGAATGATTTTATAACATAAAAAGAATGTATTAAAAATCAATTGTTTAATTTATTATTTAAGAATAGTTTTTTCATAATATTTCCTAATAGCTTGACATGGTGAATGATGTTAATGAATAATTCCCTAAAACTGTTGAAAAAAACGGATTTGGAATTATTTAAACAATCAAAAAACTGTAAAAATTAAAATGTGTGCTCTTTCTAGTTACACGTTATGATAGTATCAAGGTACTTCGCCACTATCAAAGATTTCATTAACTTGGAGTTGATATGCAAAAAGTTTGGTGGTAATATGGAAAAGTTCCACTTTAACCCAATTCCGTTAAATTACAAAACAATTAGGTACTTCCCAAACATTGAGACACTTCATTTGTGGGAAGAAGAGGATGAATATTTTGGCAATGAATTTATGACGAACACAGAAGAAAATGAAGATTGTGAAAATGAAAATAGTGAAAATGGAGTTGTTTTAAAAAAAGAGTTCTATCGAATCATTGTGTGGTTTACTGTTGATTTTGAAACTGTTTACATAAACAAAAGTCAAAACATTGAGTTCAAAAATGTTACCTACACTCAAAATGATAGAAAGAAATTTGGTAATAACATACCATCTAGTGTGACATCAATTGGTCAACAATGTTTTTATAATTGTATTAAGCTAAGCAGTGTTACATTACCATCTAGAATGACATCAATTAGTGATTGTTGTTTTAAAGAATGCAGTAGTTTGAGCGATGTTACATTACCATCTAGTGTGGAATCGATTGGTAATTAATGTTTCTATAACTGCACAGATTTAAGTGGTGTAAACATACCATCGAGTGTAACATCAATCAGTTATTGTTGTTTCTATGGATGCAGCAGTCTAAGCAGTCTCAAGATACCATCAACTATAACATCGTTAGGTCTACAATGTTTTTATGATTGTAGTAATCTAAGTAGTGTTACAATACCATCACGTGTTACAACAATTGGTGAAAAATGTTTTTGTGGATGTAGTAGTCTCGGCAATGTCACAATACCATCTAGTGTGGAATCGATTGGTAAAGAATGTTTTTATTTTTGTATTAATCTAAGCAGTGTTACATTACCATTAAATGTGACAACAATAAAAAATGAATGTTTCTATTATTGCACTAATCTTTGCAGTGTTACGATATCACCACGTGTTACAAAAATTGGTTATAAATGTTTCGGTTATTGTATTAGTCTTAGCAATGTAACAATACCATTAAATGTAACATCAATTGGTAAATGTTGTTTCTTTAAATGTACTAGTCTCAGCAATGTAACAATACCATCTAGTGTGACATCAATAGGAGAATATTGTTTCCATAATTGCAGCAATCTAGGCAGTGTTACAATATTATCAAGTGTGTCATCACTTGAAAAACACTGTTTCCCATCAAACACAGTAGTTCATCGAGGTTAATGAGATTTTTTAATCGTTACTTATTTGTTATTTTTTTAAATTTTTATTTAAAATAATTGAAAAAGTCAATTAAAAAATTGTAAAATTGATAAAGTTAAAATCATGATATCGTATTTGCATGCGAGGGGAGTCCTAAACCCCCACCAATCTTTTATAGTATGATTATTCTTAAATAGCAGATCATTCAGAACATTTAAAAACTTAAAGACAATATATCATAAGTGATATAATACTAAATATTATTCAAAATACCACTCTAACATTCTTATTTTCATTAACAATATATAAAATAATTAATATTTACTACTTTTTCATTAAAAGATATAAGTTACACAAATAACCACATTTCAACATTTCATTTCGTTTTGTTTGAAAATAATCACACTTAAAACTTGATAGTTCAAGCCATGAAAGTGATTATTAAAAAATATCGATATTTAAATATAAAAAATATAAAAAATATAAAATAATAAAATAATAAAATATACTTTTTTGATTTATGTTTAATATGATTGTAATATTTTTTATCAAAATACTTGCAATATAATTAGATTAACATCGTCATCACTATATTAAATGTAAAGTTGGCGAGAAAAAGTCTTGCTAGATACCATTAACTATATTTTATTGTAAATAACCATTTGTTATTAGTTTTTTTTAATTATAAAAAATTTGTATACAGGAAGGATAAAAAACGCTTCCGTCTTTTTAACCGCTACTTATCGTTCTAAGAGTTATAATTAAAAAAATATAATACAAAGTATAATACAAATTACCACTTCGGATAGAAAAAGTTTCCACGGGCATATTCGCCTTCAAGGTAGACAGTACTATACATTTTATTATATTAATATTATTCAAATAAAAAACAGGTGGGAGCGGCAGGGTTGGCCAAGATCCAGTTTTTAACCAACTCCATTACAATCTCTAATACCTTTCAATTCAATTTTCAGTTTTAGTATATTGTTATCAAAAAACCTAAAAAGTTTTTTGAGTAAAAATGTTTTTAAAAATTGGTAAAACTATAGTTAACGATTTAAACATAATTTTCGTATTATTTAAATTATTATTACAGTGTGTAATAAAATAGTTTTTGAGAACAACCATTGAACAGTAAAAAGCATGTGAAATGTTGGGATACAAAGTTTTTCAAAATAAATTACAATATTCACCAATTATAATAGTTGTAAATACAGAAGATACTTGCAAATAATAAAAACTATCTTGAATAATTTTTGGATTTCAACATAAAATTTAATATTAAAACAATTAATACACATTTTCAATATATACATTAAAATTAATTATTAGCGTAAATATGTGATATACATTTATCTTCAACAATAATATTGAATTGTTCGTTTTTTAATAAAATGGCAATGGAACAATCAAATAGTCGTTTTATTATATTTATCATTTTTTCCAATAATACAAAACAAACAATGTATCATTTTTTGAATGGAGTAAACCATATTACTTTCCAAAAACAGTCAAACTTATCTTCAGATAATCTTTTAAATAAAAACAATTTTTCAAAATATTATAATACTCAGTCAAAATAATAATTACTCATTGAATTGAAAACAAAGAGTATCAGAGTAATTTTGGATAAGTTTTATTTACATATTAATTTATCAATTGATAGATTTTAATGTACAATTAAATCAACACAAATATATATAAATATTTTTCATTTTAAAGTATTTTAAAAACAACCTTGTTATTAATATTAATTATCGTTTTATTTTTCTTCATTTCAATCATATGGTATATATGGTATAAATAATTGTGTTTTGTCATTTATTTTTTTTCTTTTTCAAAAAAATAAAATGTTATTTACCATTTTAATGTTTTTAAAGTTTTTTTCAATAACATGATTGATTGGTCGATCCTGAAATAACTATTCAACTTACGATTGTTCCAATAAACTGAGTTATTTCTGAACCTCGACTAAAAAGGATTTTACCAAAGGTGAGCTTTAATCAAATATAACAAAGGAAATTGTATTAAAATTAAATAGAATTAATATAATTAATAACATAACAATTGTAATTAATCAGATAATAAAATAGCATTAACATTTTTTACAACTTTATGAAGTAAATGGACTTATAAATAACCAGTTTTAAATTAAGAACAACACAAGAAAAACACTCACCACAAAAATACCCATTGCTGAATTTCTTTTGTTATAATTCTTTTCTGCAACACATTTTCCCATTGTTGTACACAAAAACCCTTCTTGGCATTGACCACACATCGACTCACACCCTTTCTTCCATTTGTAGATGCCAACATCAATAGCGTTTTCGTCTACTGTACACTCGGTGTCTGCGCAGTCGAATGACCGTTGGTCGCACTGATCTATTTTTAGAAGTTCTTCGTATAGTCGAAAGAAGAATCTTTAATTTTTAGAACATCTCCAGGAGCACTTCTATAACTGATTGCTATAGCGTTTGAAAATTCTTTACAACTTTTATCCATAGCAACAAAAAGAGCAACTGTGTTATTCACTTGTGTGTACTTATACGTCATGTTATTTTTAATAAGAACGATTCCATCTTCATTGGCAGCTTTTTCTACATCTGTTATCAACAAAAGTTTGATATCCACAATATCAAGAGTAAAGTTTACTTCAAAATTCACCTTCATTTGTTTGAAGTCTTGTGACATAAAGAACGCAGAGCTGTAAATCATCCCAAACATGTTGGTTCCATCACCATCTTTAGTTACTATCTGTGGCTTAATTGGGTCAATAGCTTCAGACTCGTTTTTACTATTCACTTTGTAGAGGTACCATATCATCATTGGATTCATAACTGGATGCTCTTCTGAATAAATCACATCTCCTCCAACAAACAAACATTTTGTCATATTGAAGTGTTGAAAAGCTGTTGTAGCTGTTGCGATGTACCCAACTCTTTCTATCACTTTTGGCATCGCCAACTTTGAAAAATCGATGGATATTATTTTGAGATTGGTGGAATCAAAAGGACGATTTATAGTAAAAGTGTCATCCATATTTTTGGTGTACGTGGCGTCATTTGTTTGGATCAAATCAACTGGTCGATTCAAATTGTACACTTGAACTGTGAGTTCATTTTGTGTGACATTTAACACAACAAGACTTGGTGTTATTTGTTGTAAGAATTCACTAATAGCGACAGTTGCTTGATACATTGAGTCTTTCACGTATTTCAAGTGTGCTGTGCCCTCTAAAAAAAAGGTCATTCATTAGCCCTACTAAGTTCATATTAAAGTACTCCAAATTTTGATTCTGGTAGTACATAATAGCAGAACCGATTATCATACAAGTCACACTCTTTTGACTCGGACCAGTCACTGTGAGCCATTGTCCACAACGACTGACGTTACGTCCCATTTTAAAATAATAGAAACGAGAAGGACTGACATAACAAATGGAATTTAAATTGTATGCAGAAATGATGTGTTGGTAGTCAGGGATTTTAGAATAACAATCTGAAACGGTTGTATATGTTATTTCTTGGGAATTCAAATTAACAGCTGCAAAATCGGTCATACAGTTCGATTTCACTGTTGGAAGAACAGAGTCTGTTGATAATACGTTACTTAAGATTACCAAAAGTAGAAATACCATTTTAAATTGAAATACAGTGTTCGGATTTCTTTATATTATATCTTATGTATTATCTGCGAAACTTATTATATTTGATTGTCGTAAACGAGTTAATAAATCCTAATTGTAGCATATTCATTTTTTATTTAATATAATTAAAATAATTCATAAAATTATATATTATATTATTTTTTTACATAAAATTGTGTTTATCAATTTTGGTTTATAGTTTCTGAAGTTTTATGATATTTTTTTAAAAAAATTGATATGAAATTATTGTTAAAAAATATCTCTATGTATTCGTGTTTCGTATTATTTGTTTAAGGGTTTAATTAAGAATGATAATTTAATGCTTGATACTTATATTTGTTGTTAAAATTACAAAATTGTTTATTTTTATTATTTCAGTGTTTTTATCAAATTTTACTTGTTGTTAATTTATTAAACTTTATTGTCGTTTTTATTTTAACAAGCTAAATGTTATTTGATTTGGTCGAGTTTATGTATATAGTATGTATTGTTATATCTCCGATTATTGTTAAAAATAATGATATTATTTACCAAAAATATATCACATTTAAAATAATGAAACATCTAAATAATAAAACCAAAAAAACTTTTATTGATATGATTATTTTATTACTTTATATTAATATTATTATATATACAGTCAAAGGCGTCTATTTGTCGTTATTATAATTGTCGAACTTGCTTATTTATAGCACAATTGGCGAATCATTTTGGTCTAGGACAATTAAATATTTTGTTCTCGAATCTGTAACTTTTGTTGAATTAAAAACTAAATTTTATTTAAAAAATAGATTTCAATATAAAAAATTTTCTACAAAATTCACTCATTTACGACAAATAGACGCCTTTGATTGTAATCATTTGATATATAATAAAGTGGTATATTGAATAACTTCAATTTGTTTTAATGTCTAATTTTTTTATAACAGATTTTTTACAAGTACTATAATTTTTAATATTCAAAATCATATTGTATAATACATTAATAGATAATTTTAAAGTCGGTGAACTAAAAAAAATCGATGAATCCGGTTTTTGCAAACTGTCCAGAGTATAAAATTCTCTTTGTTGGGCAATATAACACAGGAAAAGTCCAACTTATTCAAGCTTTCCGAACCCCTCAACCATTTGATGATGTTATAACAAAAATTGGAGTTGATTTTGCGGTTTGTTTTTTTTTTCTAAAACAAATATTTAAAAACCACAACTACACTTATTAATTAAAATATTAATACATTGTAATAATCATTTTACTATTCAATTTTATAGTTTAAATTTAAATGATAAATTGTTTGTTTACATTGTGATGGAATAATATGCAAATCATACAATTATCATTAAATAAATATCATCATTTTATTGTAATTTTTATATTAAATTATATGGTTAATACATTAATTGATTGATAGGTTTCTTCATTGCTTGTTGAAAGGACAATTGTCAGAGTTCAGTTATGGGATGTTGGTTTGTGTTATATAATAATGTAATAATTGTACTTATCAAATAGAAGTGGGCGACAGATTTAAAAACCTCACTCAAACCTTCTATAGGTTTGTATATATCATATTAATATTATATATATAATAATAGTTATTATTATAAAATTTATTAATAAATATATTATATTAAATTTATAATATTATATTATTATTTAATTATTATTATATTATTAATTATTCTAATTATAAAATTTAATTAATTAAATTATAATATAAAACTATTTATTGTTGAATTTAAAATTATAAAAAGTATAATATGTTGTTAATTTTAAGTTAATTAAAAATGTACGATACAAAACCATTTTATTGTTGTGTTATTAACTAATGAATAACAACAGTTTTTTGATTGTGACAGTAAGTTAGTCATTTTATTATAATTTTGATGTTATATGGGTTTAAAATCTTGTTTTTATTATAGAACATACTCAAATATAACAATAAGAGGAAGTGATGCTGTTTTATATTTCTATTCAGCAATAAACCATCAAACCTTTGATGAAATGAAACGCGAAATCGTTAGAAATTTCAAAATGGTAAGCAAGCCAGAACCTCGTTATGTTTTAGTAGAAACAAATAGTGATAATGACTTATTGAGAGACGTCAACGAAGAGGAAATTATAGAAGTCGAGAATTTGCTTGGTATTGAAGATCACATTAAAATAAATAAAATCACACACTCAAAAGCGGTTGATTTAGTCATGCAAATAGTGTCGATTATGATGAGTAACGCCGAACAAGAAAATACAACAAAAACACAGCAAAAAATTGTTAAAACGCACGAGCAACCCAAAAAGAATGAAAAAGGAGGTTGTTTATGTGTTTGATTTTAAATTTAATTGTTTTTAAACGTTTTATTTTTTTAGAATAATTTTATACCTCTTTTTGTTATTTTTGACCAACTGTATCATGGTTTACTATTTTATTGTCGGTATTTATAGTTTTATTGAATTTATCTGTCAATTTTGTTATTAAAAAATGGTATTAATTAATTAAATTAAAAAATATGAATTAATTAATTAAAGATCGGTCGGAATATATTGCTCTGAAGAAGTCAAGTTTCTCATGTAGCAAGTGAAGTAATCGTACTTATCGACTTTGACTGGATCCCCAACACAATTGTTATTTTGGAATCTTGCCTGTTGGAACCCATTTTCAGTCTCAGAAATATTCAACGAAAAAGTTCTAAAGTTGAGGCACCCATATGGATAGTACCAAGCATCGTCTCTTGCCTCTGGGTTGCTCTTACATGACCTTGAAGTGAACAACATTTGTTGTTTAACAAAGTATGGTGGGATTTTATCTGTAACAGCAAATCCATAAGTGTAAGTTGTTTGCATTGTAAGTTCGTCACAACGTCTCCCTTTTAATACATAAACTGTTTTAAAGTCTTCAGATAACACCAATCTGAAAATTCCATCTTCACCTTGATAACATTCGTTCTCTTCAATTGCAAAGAATTTAATCGAAGTGTCATTACTAACAATAAATCTTGCAAAGGAGAATGAAAGAAGTGCAAAGAAAGCAATTAAAAACATTTTATTTTATTTGATTAAACTCATAGTTCTTTTTATATTACGAATACAATAAACAAATATTTGAAAACTTAATACAATGAAATACTTCGAATTTTGAAATGTTTTTAACTTCAAACCGAAGTTAAAAATGCCGAAAATAACAAATATTGTTTATTTATTAAAATAATTATAATAATTTGGTTTTAATTATTTTTTTTTGAAGTTAACATAAAAAATAACATAAATGTAATTATTTGTTTATTTTTGGTAATATATCATTATTTAATAATAAGAATTTAAATTGTGCGAAAATATATATTACTTTTTAAAATATTATTTTTACGATTTGGCAGTTTTGATATTATTACATTTCTGAAATAGTTTTTTGTTGCAATTTTGTAATATATTATTTGTTACATTCACAAATATTCATATAACAAAAATTAAACAATAATAATACACAACTAAACATAATAAAAATTTTTGTTACTATTTGTTACTATTATTCTCATCAATTCAATAAATAATTTTATTTCATAATCGTTGTGTTTTTTATTTAATTAAAAAGTGTTATTGTTATTATTTTTTTACATAAAAATATAAAAATGAATTTAAAATTTATCCAATATATCAAGTGTATTGAACAATTGTATTGAATATTTTAATAAGATAAATGATTAACCTTTATTTTATGTTTTAAATGTGATTTATATTTATTGGTTAAGTTATTAATATGTTAATTTCATTGTGTAGCACTATTAAAAAACGGTTTGATATTTTTTTATTTCATATATTATCAAATTTCAAATGAGTTTTTTATAATTTGATTAATTTGTTCAGATATTTAT